TTACCGACAGATCCAAGGTTTTTTGGTACAAGGTACTCTGTTCCATAGTTCCCCAAATCTGGGAAGTGCCTGCAGCACAGGATTGTTATGATGGGAAGAGAGTATGCATTAGCTGGGTATGGGATGGGTGTAATTACTAATACACAAGAACAGTGTTATGAATGCTCCTTAGTCTGCCTTTAATAGGTTTGACATGAACCACCTTATAGTAGTTATGCCTGAGCTTCCAAAAGTATTGTTTTCTTGTGTCCCTAGAATCCTCATGTTTCAGTAAGTATCTTGAATTGCCGACTTAAAAAACAGTATTTGAAATGTGTGTCAAGTCAATACTGCTTTGCTAACTGCACACAGTATTGACACAGACAGTTCAACTCAAGTTAATGCACTGATGTTTTGGAGGGAGCAAAAACCAAGGCTTCAGCAGACCCCATCAAGCCAGGACTTTCTGTTTCGCTGTCAGCATCAACTACACCTTGTCTGTCCACTCTAACAGAGTGCATGGTTTGTACCAATCTTTTCCATAGGAAATGACTCATGCCCCGAAACACAGATTTGACACTGTCTAAAGCAAGTACCACTCCAACCACAGAAATGAGGAGATAAGAGGGACTCTGTCAAGAACACTCACTGTTACTGCTACTGTTACCCCCACCCAAGCAGATAGGCTGCAGATCTATCAGGAGTGAAGACAGCTGCTAAAAGTCTACAAGGAATGAAGTATCCTTGAGCATTGTTAGGACAGTTTGCCCTTTACAAGGGTATTTCCTTTGTAGTTTACATTGTGCTTAATATCCAAGGCTAGGTGAGGTAACCTGTTGGGAAAGAAATACTATTAGCATAATCACCATTTTAATTAAGTGATGCTGTGATGGCACAGTGTTGTCATTTACAGAAAAATGAAAGCTTTTATGCTTCTAGCATAAAAGAATTGACATCTTATGTGTGGGTGCCACAACCCACACAGACATAATATTTTGAAGGAGTAAAGTCTAAACAGGTCATACTTGGTTCAGGGAAGAAGATGACATGGGTTCCAAGAACCCAGTAATGCGGTTAGCACAAGGCATTGCAGCAACATTTTGGCTTTCTCAATATGATTCCTTCTCCAGGCTTCATTGCTGTGGTGGGTTGAGGTGGGTGGGTTACAGCTTAAAGGCGTTATGGAAAAAATGTGTTAGAAACAAGGTTTAAGCTGACACAGCTGCACAAGACTGGAGGAGTATTCAGAAGGCATTAACTCATCAATGACTGGATTTTCTAAATAACTAGGAAATTACTGTAACACATCTGTGTGTTCTTTCTCATGGCTTAATATGTTCAATTAAATGGTGGAGTTTTGACTTCGGAAAAACATTTTGTTTATAAACTGATTGCTTTCCCTTACTATTATTGTAAAGTAAAAAGTATAAATTATAACATTGTTTAGTCTAGTTTCTTTCATTTCCAAAATGCATTTGAGAAAAAGTCAAGAATTACACTTTTCAATTTTAAGCCTCACAACAGGATTTATTGGTGCCATCTACCGGCTATTTAGTCCTCTTAAATTTCAACAAATTATGAATAATGTGTTTTAAATGCAGAATAATAAGAACTTTATGAGCCTTACAACTGAATCAGCCAATATAAAACTACGTAATTGGCAAATCCGTAATATTTAAATTACATTAAATCAAGTTTTGGCACAATGTTCCAACAGTGTAACTCAGTTACAAAGCTTTTAGATGTGCCAAGAGGAGAAAGCTCGAGCCAGCGTACAACTGCTCGTGTGCACACTCCAAGCACTAAAGCTACAGATACACTCCTTGTGTCTCAGAGAAAGGCTTCTTCCTGACAACTGCCAACCATTTCAGATCCCTCCTTCCTAGTGTACTAGTACACGGGGCACTATCATGTTCAGGCAGCAGGTAAACGTGGTCATATTGCTGTTTGCCTTTGCTGGAGGGATGTCCCCACAAAAATTTGAAGGAAAAAACAACGCATCAGCTCATAGCCCAGGCAAGCTGTGAATGTTTCTGCTGAGGGTGAGTTTAAGCTATTTGGAGGGAGCATGGGCAGGGAGAGGATGGCACACAGCCTATTCCACCACATCCATTGCAATGGTGGTAGGAGCAAGCAGAGCTTGGAAAGGACCTGCTGTCCAGCACTGCTGAATCCCCTTCTGCTACATTTGTTGAAAGAGATCTGAAGATGACCTACGCTTTAAATCACTTAAAGTCGTTGTAATAAAAATTGCTAAACTATAATCGTTTGAAGCAGTGCCAGGGAAAGATCAGTACATTAATATTACATTAACTGAGATGTTTACAATATCTCCAGTGCCAGGTGAGAAAAGTACTTACACATCCAAGTAGTTGCATCCCTAATGAGCAATATATTTGAACACATGCTTAAAATACTTAATCATACTTAAAGGTGCTTTGCTAGATACCAGTGAGAGTGCTCACATTCCCCACTCTGGTTAGTCAAGACTTTAAGAGAGCCAGAAACAAATGTATTTAGATCATGACTCTGAGAACCAACCTCTGGAATAACTTGCCTAGCAACTAGGCTGTGAGTAAAGAAAGCATATTAATAGTGTGTTTTCTCTTCTCTGTCTTTTCCCATCATGTAACAAAAACATGAAAATTTTTCACAAGGAAAATAATGTTATTTAGCCATATCTGTTTTTCAGAGATTTATGTATGAAAATGCTTTCTGATGGAACAAACTAAGCCTTCACCTTATATGCTGTATTTGTGTGGTACTAGTAGAGTTCACAGATAAGGCTGCAAAACTCCTCACAAGACCCTATTTTCAAGTGCTTGTTACTTTGGCAAATTCCTGTCATTTGGCTGAAATTTCCACACCTTGGATTTTTGTCTGGTTGGTTCACCAAAATTTCATATCATGTTTTCATTAAAATCATGCAAGACATACAGGTTTTCCCGTATTAAAATTATAACAGAAGCTTGTCTGGGAATTTGTCAACCCTATCTACTGGGAAAAAGAGAGTTTTCCCTTGGTATAGATACCCTTGGTATAGATCCCTACAGAGTTGTGCTGCCATTTCCATGAAATGGAAATGGAACGGAAATTGACTTAGTCAATGGAACTAGAAGGGAAAGAGAGTTCATTAGAAATCTGCTGGAGTGTGAATCCGCACTGAACATGTTTTATTCCTGCAAGATCTCAGAGTGTCTGATGGTGATCCCAGCGCTGAGAGCAACTCTGCAACTTCATCAAGGGCTGAGCAAGAACTTGCCTAGAAGAGCTTCTGCAGAAGGGGAGTGGGGAGACTTCCCATTGCACAGTCCTGGTGCTCTTGCTGCCAGACCCCTGGAGTTCCTGAAAAGAAAAATTTAATATTTCTAGGATGGGAAGAGCTACTGAGAGAGACTGTGACCAAAGCCAGCTGGAAGATGAGAAATGGAGAGATAACGAAGGATAATGTAGGTGAGTGTTTTCCTATAGTAGACTACATTAACTTTCACAACCTGCAAATAATATTTCATTTAAGATCATTTAGTGTCAGTTTAATTCCAGCTATCAAGTTACTCCATTTACTCAAATGGCCGAGCTATGTGGATCTGCAGCAGGTAGGTATAATCCTCCTCATGATTCACAGAGGTGCTAAAATGGTTTTGGTATGGGAATCTGAAGGAGTTTTCTGTTTCTGTAGAGCGACACAAGCAATGACACATAAAATATCTGCATGAAGAGAAAGCTTCTAGATGCTTGTTGTCTTCTGAATAACCATGTGCAATTTCACACTCTCCACCATCCATGGATGGATTCTCTGGATAAATGCACCAGCCTGCACAGACTACCTCATGGCTCATTAGCAGAGAGGCAGCGCTGCCTTAACGTCATCAAACCATTTCTAAATCTGGTTTGCATGTCTTGGCATCTGGTGTTTCCTGTTTCGGTCCTGGAGCGTGGAGCAAGTTGCATGGCTGAACAGCAGCCCGATGAGACTTTGGGTGGCTCCGTGCTGAGAAATTTGCTCACCTCTGCTTAGTAACCTTCAGCATTTCTATAGATAGTTAGGTCTCATTAGCTCAGGTCAGTGTTTGTGAACAAGGCTGAATGCTACTGGACAGTCTGGTGTGTGTGGTCTGTCAGCAGATGTGGGTGCAGTGGGAGGACAGTTCACAGGCCTCTGGAAGATGGTGGTAGCCTGAACACTAGAGTCACCATGGTGTTCCTCTTTGGTTTAACAATCATTTCCCTTTGTTCTCATCACAGCTTCCCTTTCCTCAGCAAATACTTCAGATCACTTCCCTGTCCTTCATTAAATTCAACCATTAAACATCGATTTCCAATATTAATCTCTTCCTCAGATGTAGCCTCATCTACTGAGTGCCTGCACCCCGTCATCTGAGGATTAGGACCTTTTGCAGGATGGTGGCAGCGTGAGTGGCAGTGAACGTGGCACTGAGGGTGGCAGTGCAGGTGGCAGTGAGGTGGCACTGAGGGTGGCAGTGAAGGTGGCAGTGAGGTGGCACTGAGGGTGGCAGTGAAGGTGGCAGTGAAGGTGGCACTGAGGGTGGCAGTGCAGGTGGCACTGAGGTGGCAGTGAAGGTGGCAGTGAAGGTGGTAGTGAAGGTGGCACTGAGGGTGGCACTGAGGGTGGCAGTGCAGGGCCGGCTGCCCTCTGCCATGGAGCCCTCGCTTCCCCTGCATGGCAGCGGCCCCGGTGTGTTTGGAAACAATCCTCGGGATCGCTTCCACCGGCAGGACAAGCTCATATCCCAACACTTGAAAGTCTGTGAACTGCCTCAGCATTTATACAGTGCGCTGCAGAGTTTAATACCGCGATGTTCAGGAGAACCCAAGTGCCGGGTCTGTTCGAGGGGCTTTTCGCGCCGTTTGTGTTTGTACTACAGTCCCGGGGCCCTTCCCAGCCGGAGCTCCACCGGAGGGGCACGGACCGCCCTGGGTTCGCGACGGCACACCCCGGCGGGTCTCTGTGCCCCGCAGCCCCGCGCAGCCCCGGACGGGCCCCGCCCGCCGCCACCGGTGCCGGCCCCGCCGGGGCGGGAAGGTGCGGCCGCCCCGCCCCGCCCGCCAGACGCCACATCCTGCAGGTGCCGCGGGGCGGCCATCGCGGAGGGGCTGCCGCTACCGCCGGTGAGTGCGGCGGGCACCGCGCCGGGCCCGTCCCGTCCCGGGGAGCGGCGGACCCGACCCGGAGCGGCGCCGCGGGGTGGCCGCCCGGAGGCGGTTCCCGGTGAGGGGGTGGCGGGGGCGCGGCCCGGGCGTGGCGGGGATGCGGCGCCGGGGCCGCGCCCGGCGAGCCCCGCGTTCTGGGCCGGCCGCTCCGCTGGGCCCGCGGGCGCCGCTTCCCAGGGCGGGGCTGGGAACGGGACGTTGGGAGCGGCGGTGGCTCCGGGGCCCGGCGGGAGCGGGGGCTGTGCCGAGCCGCGGCCCCGGGGGGTGTGTGGGGCCCGGCAGGGTCGCGGGGGCACCGGCCCGGCCCGGCCCGGCCCGGCCCGAGCTGCCCTCTCGCTGCGGGCCGGCGGGGAGCCAGGGCGGTCGTCCTCGGGTTGTTTCGCTGCTGTTCACTGCGCTGCCCCGTCTTTGCACGTACAGGCTCGAAGAAGAAGGGATTGAGTAAAATCGCGGTCAACCAAAATGGGGCAACACCTAAAGCACCTGTGAGGAGTCTGAGAGCGTGCCTTACTGCCGTGCGCTGGAGCCAGCAGAGGAAGATGTGTGTTTTTATCCTCGTGCAAAGCCGAGCCGTCTAACTACTGAGCAAAGCGATGTGCTGAAATTGTAGATCCTGACAAAATGGGAGCACTTGTGTTCTCTGCGACTTGCAGTTTACTTCTAGCCCTGGTGCGAGGGCACAGTTTATTTACATGTGAGCCAATTACTATCTCCAGATGTTCAGGAATGCCTTACAATATGACTTTTTTCCCAAACATCATGGGACACTATGATCAGGACACAGCTGCTCGCAAAATGGAGGTAAGTTCTCTCCCTCGTACTGTAGTATGTAACAATTCTTTTTGTCATTTAGAATTTATTTGGGATACCTGTTGCGCTTAGTGACAAAGCAAATAATGTTTAGTGACTAGATATTTCTTAAAGTGTTTTAGAGTGTGCTCAGGCTTCTTGATTGTGTAAGCTCTGTGGAAGGGATCTACAGACTTCCTTCCCTCACCCCGCCTTGGATCCTTTATTAGAGTGGAAGAGGAATGGGTGTAGCATAGCAATGTGGCTATTCAGAGCATTTTGGCACAGCTGATCACATAAGCCCAGGCACCTTACTGTTATACAGAGCAACTGTTGTAATTCTCTGGAGAAAGGGCTAACGATATCCTGGCCTGCCTGAGCTCAGCGCAAAAATCATATTTAGAAGTTGCTCACTGCACCCCTCTCAGCTTATATCTACTAAGGCGAGGCGCCAACTTATTCTTAGTCCTATTCTCCATTGCAGGTTTTGCATTCTGTTGTCTTCTGACTGGATGCTGAAGCTTCTGACTGAAAGAGCAACTTTGCTCTTTTTTTTTTCCTAACTCAAAATAAGCACTTCTCTTACCTGAACTGTAAGTGTGGCTCCCTTGAGAATATGCTACCTTGTGGAAAGGCTTTGCCGATAGCAATGCCTGTAAAGGGCGAGAGCCTCTCTGGGTGAGAGGCTTGTAAAACAAGTTTTAAACCTGTTTTAATAATGGCTTTTTCAGTGGTTAGAGGAGGGGAAAAATCTTAACGTAGGTCTTGAAAAGCTCAGTGTCTTCTGCTGTGTAGAAAGTGAAACACAACTGAGTTGAAATTAGGTTTCTGTTTTTTTAAAAAAATATATAGGTGGTACTGGAGGTGGTTACTGTTACTAAAACATTCTTTGCATACTCTTTACTGAATTTGGAAGAGGAGCTTGGTTCAGTTGCCAAAACATGTTTTTAGTGTTGCTTGGGATAATCAGGATTCCCTGTTTGGCCTCCAGCTGCCAGCCTGGAATGGCACAGGCTTTGGTCTTGCATTGGTTTTGTCAGCCCGGTGTAGATGTGTGGGAAATTCTGGTATTGAGTGTTAAACCATCTGTACGCAAGCAACTGACAAACTGTGGGCTTTTAAATTGAAGTCAGGCTGTAGGCTTCAGTTGTGAACTGTGCTGTGCCTTCTCTAGTCGTCATTTGTCAGGAATGCTTCCTGCAGTGTCTGCCACTTTTATCTCCTCAGGTATGCTGCTGCTTCTTACTTGGTGTGTCTTGCAGCCGTTGAGCCAGCGTTTGTCAGTATTTGTGCCTCCCAGTCATGGTGTTGTTAGGACAGAGAGACCACAGAGCCATTTTTATTAGGTTGCTGTGACTGACTTTTCTGAACTGTCAGTAACTCGTGCCTAGTGCATGTGTGGAGGGAGTTCCTTCTGGAAAGGGTTCATGGCTCACCTGCCCTTATATAGCTACTAAAATAGATAAAAAACTGTGTGGTAGTGAGAAGTTTTGTTGTTTTTCCTCTTTTTCCATGTTGTCAGCCTTATAACCACCTCTGACTTCTGCAGTGGTTGATCACTACTTAGCCAACTGACTGGGTGGCTATGGAGAATGACAGTGTCTATTAGCATTTGATTTCCCTACCCTGTTTCGTTTGCTTCCTGTCATTGCCACTACCTGGCCTCTAATTTGATATTCCTCAGTACTATAGTACTGTGCAGACATTTCTAAACTGCCTAATGTGTGGTGGTCTGCTTGCCTTTATTTGTGATCCAGCAGTGCTGATGGACTGTCTGGTCAAAGTGAATTTTTAAGACAGCTGCTTTCCTGGTGAGAGGGTGAGGAAGTTTCCTCCCATTCTGTTTGTAGCTAGTGTTGAATCTGTTGCTAGCAGTTAGATTCAGAATTAAGACGGTGAGCTTATGGTGGTTCATTGCTGGGCCTTTTTTCTGAGAGACCAGTGTGTACCAATACCACTTACATGTTTTGGTGTGATTCTACATGGTCTCAGTAACAGCACCAGTATAGTTTGTCCATAGTTGATTGCAACAGAGGACCTTCTCAGGATTGTCACGGTGTTCTGCTTTTCAGGGGACTGTTGTTGATGTTGCAACAGGGGGAGAGGAGTTACTGACTGTTTAATTGGTGTTTAATTTCACTTTGCAGCCATAAGGAGGCAGTGGGTTGGGATGTGGAGGAGACTTTTGTTGTTTCAAGAGCTTGAATTTTTCTGTAATTAGCAGTTCAAACTTCATTCATACCAAAGAAAGAATTTTAATAGTACATGGGCTGAAGCTTTCTTTTGATCCTCGGTAGGAATGCTTAAAGGCTTTGGTTTTTACTTCTATCTTGCTCTTTCCCCTCTCCTCCCCTCCCCACGGCCTATTCTCAAGACTGGGCATGAGACTTACATCTTAGGATGCAAGGTCTCACTGGGTTTTGAGGCTGCTGCTCACAGTATTTTGCTCACTGTATCTTAACTAACTCTGAGTAAGCTACTTAATCATGAAATCTCAAGGCAAAGGGGAAAAGACTTCTTCAAGAAATCAAAATATTTTGTGCAGAAAGAACCTTGATGTTAGGCCAGTTTTATGTTCCTATTCCCTTTGAAAACTTCTGGGGAGTGCTTACTCCCAAAAAGGATAAAGATTTGCCAGGGGGACAAGTCTCACCTTAAGGTGAAGCTCACTCTCCAAAACCACGGTAACTCGTGATGTCCCACTCTCAAGGCTCTACAGGTGTGTTCTGCTTCAGGGAGTGTTGTATTGCCAGAAGAGCTGTGCCTTGCACCTGCTGGTGCACAAAGTCTTCTGGACAGTTTCTCTGTACAGTTTCTCTGCTTTCTGGAAAGGTGTTAAATTGGTGTTTCTGGATGGTGTCTTCATGGTAATCCATCCTCCAAGAGAGGATGATGTGGAGCTACTGTCTCAGGTGGCGGTTGCCCTGCAGGAAATCAGCTGATACATGGTCTTTCAATTCTGCCTCATGTATCAGCTGTTCATAATGATGTGCTGTAAGCCAGAACACTGAACCACTGAGAGCAGGAAAATGACTAACTCAGTCTTAGGGCCTCTGTTGTGGATGTTTTGGCTAGTGATGATAGTCCCTCTGGGATCTTATTTTCTGCAATAAAAAATATGTAATTTCCAGTTACTCCCTCCATTCATATATTTGTTTAGTTAGTTCAATTCTGAGCTTTCAGCTTAACAGACTGAGTTTTAGCTTCTTGAGTTTTACTTTACATTTGGATTCGTTATGTTTACACAACAAGTGGTGATTTTAGGAAAGTAAAACCACATGACTTTGTGGTGTGAAGTTTTGTGTATGTTAGCTAAACAGCTGCATAACAGTATAATTATTTGCAGATGTCAACCATATCTTTATCTCAAAGCAGTTTAACAGTAATACTGCTCATGTTACTACTGGTTCAGATTGGGAGGCAGAAGACCTAGGGTTTGTCTGATGAGGAAAAGAGATGGACACCAGAAGATCTGGTTCACTACAGCTGTACTTAAATAGGTGTTAACTCCCCCTCGTGGTCATCCACAAAACCAAGTCACTTCTAATTCCAAAGTAATTCCTACTTTTAACTATCCTGGTTGTCAACATAAGGCATTATTCCAGCAAGGCAGAGAATATTACTGTGTTGTAACTTATGTTCGTATCTCTTAATCTGTTCTACTGCAGTTCTGGAATGTGTCCACAGGAGACAAGCCCTTAAGACTTCCTGACGTGGGTAAGATCCACAGGTCTATAGAAGTACAAAGAAAAAGGCTTGCCAGTGACTTTTTAAAGCAGACTGTGGAAAACACTGGAAAATATCCCACAGAGAACAACAAAGTACCTCAGAGAGACTGGAAAAATGATTCAGGAGTGAGTTTTCCGTTCACTTCTGAGTTCATGGCGATGTGCCAGAACATGTGTGTGCTTATATGGAGAGTTAAGTGCAGCTACCTGCAGCAGTGGCAGAAATTTGTGTGAGAACTGGGGTCAGTTAAAACCATTTAGAGGGGTTTAAGGAGTAGCTTCAAAAGCTTAATATTTAAATGGCATGAGTTAAAACTTGTAATGTAATGGCTGAAGTTGCTTCCACTAAATACAATTTTTCAGTTAATTCAGTATAACAATACTTTAAAAACCTGGAAAACTGGTGTCTGCAAACTTAAGTTGGTATGTGTGTGTGTGTGCGTGTGTATGTTTGTAGATACACACAGAAAGGAGGAAGCTGTCTACCTCTGTAGATTGGGAGTTTTGGGGGAATAAGTACTATTTTCTAAGAAGATTATTACTGAGATATCCTGCAAGGTAGCATAGGTGTGAATTTACTAAATTGTTTTTGGTTTTTGTGCTCTCTTGCTCTCAGGTGTTCCAAAGAAACATCCGCCATCTTTAGTTCTTACAGTGGTTCTTACAGCAGCACATTCATAAGCAGTTTTTTCTGATTCCTATGGGTGCAGTAAATTACAGCCATTGAAAAAGTGTTTGTTACCTTTAGTACTGAGGCCCTTCATCAAGTGTGATTGGCTTGTGCAGATTGTCCGAAACCAGAGAGGGGAATGTGTGTAATCCTATTACACGGGCTTTAGGTGTATCAGTCATCCACATTGTCTGCTGCTGCTTTCCCTGAACAGCATTCCTTGTTGCTGGATAACGTGACTAGCACTGCCTTGCTCTTTGTTCTGAAAGGATGTTGTTTAGAATGCATGGGGGTCCAAAGTGATGCATGTTTGACGAAGAGATGATAACCAGGGTTCATGGAGATGGTGTTGACAGAGTGATTTCAACAGCCTCCTCTTTATCCATGTTCAGAGGCTGTGCCTACACTAGCAAGTAATTTGTGTTACAGGAGTGGATCACTAGGTAAAGTTGGTAGCACATTTCTTACCTGTCTCCTGCATGAGACTGAGGAGTTTTACTCTGAGCTAGATTTAGGCCAGTCCCACTGTGCAGGAGGTCTGAAGCTGGCCTACGGAAGGCTGTTTTCCAGATCTTTTCTCAACACAAGACCTCTGGGAAATACTGTGCTATCCT